CCTGGTAGTGACCACAGAAATATACTTTCTGGTACCTGCAGAACCACACTTTCACACAGTCTGTTTGTTCCGGTGTAGAAGGATATCAGCTTTAAATCTAAGCCTATTTCAAAACTGCAAGAAATATCCTGCTCCAAACATTGCAACATTAATTTATATTTTCATGTAGGTAAAATGTCATTTTGATGTTGCTTAAGTCATTTACGTTTTCTCATAAGAATGAACTGTGCCTCATTGTTATTACAGTGGTGCCTCGCTTAACGAGCGCACCGTACAACAACGAAATTGCATAGCGATCCCTTTTTTGGGATCGCTAATGCGATTGCTCAACGACCCGTAGATAGGGCTAAACTCGCTTTGCGAAGATCGGTAAGCGTTTCGCTTACCGATCTTCGCAAAATGAAGCCCAGACGATCAGCTGTTCGGTGGATAAAATGGCCGCCGGAAGCTCCAAAATGGCCGCGCGCAGTGTTTTTGCACCCTCCCCTCACTTAACGAGGGCACGAAAATGTCTGCCGGCCATAGGAAACTTCGCTGAACTGTGAGTAAAGGAGCCTTTTGGAACGCATTAAACGATGTTTAATGCCCCTAGAGTCGGACACGACTGGACAAAAATTGTCAACCTTTTAAAGTCATTTACATTTTCTCATAAGAATGAACTGTGCCTCATTGTTATTACTCCAATTTCAAAATAAAGCATTTTTCATTCAATCTTGTTAGGAAACAAAGCGCCACAGAGATAGCATCAAACTATTCATGATCTGTTGTGTAATTTAACATGCGAGGCACCACTGTACTCCAATTTCGAAATAAAGCATTTTTTATTCAGTCTTGTTAGGAAACAAAGCGCCACAGAGATAGCATCAAACTATTCATGATCTGTTGTGTAATTTAACACAACTTGATAACATTTTGAAATGTAGTCAGAACTTACTCTCAATTTGTTCTTTCAAAATACTCAGAGTTCCCGACAGCCTTTTCATTCAAAACCAAGAAACAAGTTGATGCAAAAATAAGAATGAATGCTTTCATAAAATCAAGAATATCAACAAAAGATTCACTCGTGTTGGATCATTTATACCCTTACATTTCTCAGAACTAACAACGTTTCTCAGATGAACTCACAAATTAAATCTATAATCATTCTGTGCCATGGTAAACTACACCTTGTTGAACTCAGTTGGGCTTGGAACTAGCTTGGGACAAATATAGGATCATCACAGAAAACAGGAGCTTGGGGTCACCTCCTCCTATCAGTCCGAAAACACCTGAGGCTGTTCAATACCAGCTACAACCTCACTAAACAGTGACTGAACACACTGCTCCATTTTAATAGCCCTCAGTTGCAGTGACTGAAGAAACTGAAGACATTAAAATACTTTACATCTACCCCCAACGGAGGCAGAAAAACTGTCATTTTTTAATGGTAGACACTTTTTTTGGTCTAAGGCCTCATTCTCTAATTTTGCTGTAAGCCAACAGAAATTGGTGACGAGCAAATTTAAGCCCAATGTGAGCTGACGGGGGAATGATGGGAAGCATAATCCAAAATCTGCAGGGTATATGATTGAGGAAAGCTGATCAGAAGGTGAGGTATTGCGGGGGGAAAGAGTTATCAGTTCAGTGTGGCTGTTTTGTGTGATTTAGTACATTTTATTACAACAATGCTGTTTTCTTAAAGAGAAAATAATAATGATAATGATAATAAAACTGTAACACACTGTGGCAGGGGTCAGAAGACGCTGGGGTCATTCACCTGGACCATCCTATCCACGGTGTGGATGGCCTTGTGATGTGTGAACTAGGCATGCCCCTAGGCACTCCCCATAGAATCAGGCAGCTCTAACCCCTGAGAGGACTGTCAGGAGGCCATCAGGAAAATGAATGTTCTAGACTGTGAAACTAAGCCAAAGAATTTGGATAGAGCAGGTTCAGGTGATGCATCTCTGGGAGTGCACACGGTAAGGAAGGACAGTGAACAGGGTAAGACGAGAAGGACAAGAGAGTATAAAAGGGGCAGCAGTCACAGCAGGGGAGGAGGACAAGCAGACAACATGATTGTTACCAAATCCAGAAGGCTGAGGCCGATGAAGAAAAGGAGAACTGAATTGAAGCCCTGTAGGCAATGGTCATCAACTGGCCCAGAAACATCCTGGCCCAATGCCACCACAAGAAGCAATCACTGCTACCCCCGAGTACTCAACTCTAACACGGGAGGGGGGCAGCATCAGAGGCAACTGCAGTTCCTCTGTAAGTAGGAAGCTGAAGTCTGAGCCATGAGAAATCCTCCTGCTTAGGAGGTAGGGACACATGCTGTCAGCCACAGTGTTGTGTGCACCCACAGTATTATAAATTGCTACCAAGAGATAGGAGGACAGAGCTGACCAATGAAGTTATGTTCTAATTGTGGTTGCAATAAAAATTACTTGTGTTGCTTTTCACCTTCATATATAAAGTTAGGGCATGTGTGACTTTTTGACATCCCTCAACAATGGAAGACTTTAAACAGAAGGTGCACATATACACTTTAAACAGAATGTGCCATCATTTGAGCTCTCTACAGAATTTTCAGTCATGCTGGTAACACCCTTCTGCTTTTCCACATCCACAAAAATTCTTTGCATTTGTAAGAACATATTTTAAAAGTCAGAGAACGGTTTCAAAAGAAAATGTCACTTGGTGCACTTGCCACAAAATGTAGCTACCTTTTAAAAACTATACATGAAGCCATTCTGGATAAGTGGATCACATAAGGGTACAATGCTATTCAAGAAAGATTTAAAAATCCAAGCACTGATGGACAAGCAACAATGTTAGCAACAATGACCTTGGCTTCAACAACACTACATTTGATACAAGAATTGAGAAAGGGTGAGCATAGCTGTATGATTCACACATTGCCAAAATAGAGCCATCCTGAATCCAGTTCAATGCTTCCCCTTCAGAATGTCTGGTTCTGTCTATCCTACATTTATTTATTAATTGTTTTAGTTATAACAAAGCTACCAAAAGTTAGTGTCATGTGCATTTTCCAGCCCCTTACACCATACCACTGGTCATTGCCGGAAGGACCAGGAAAACACCTAAGAACTGATATCAAACCATAAAGATGTACTGAAATATGTGGTACTAAATGGGCTAGTGTTGTTGCTATAACATACCATCAAGCTGCCTCCATCAAGCTGCCTCCATCACACAGCATTCCTATGAATGAATTACCTCCAAAAGGTCCATCCTTAGCAGTCCTGCTCAACTCTTGCTGTAGCTTCCTTTATGAATCTGTTTCACATATTGTCTTCAGCTTTTTCTTCTGCTGTCAACCTTTTTCTAGCATTATTGTCTTTTAACACTCAACACAAGCTATTTTCTTCAATTCACCATTTAACAAATGGTACAAAATGGCTGCTCCCAGGCTGAAGAATTCAATTTGAAAGATGGGACCCCTCCTAGCAAAGGCTTTTCTGTTTAAGCACCAGTTTAGCTGCTGAAGAAGGGGGGTTGAACAGGTTCTTAATGATATATTTTTTTAAAATGCTTTCATTTAATGGTGTTTTACTACTGCACTTATCTTTTAATCTTGTTGAAAGATGGCTGGAATCCTGGTTTTGTGAGAGTGATGGAATACAAATCATACTGAACAGGAAATAAAATACAATTTGGATAAATTCAAGAGCAAAATATGTTACACTGAGCAGCAACCTACTGCTGATCATTTCTACTCCTTCTTAGATATGCATTACATAAATCATTGTTTACAGTAGGCAGGCAGGCAACACACGGCTGCTGGAATTCATCGCTCTTCTGCAAGAACTGGTGCCAAAGATGTAGAATGATTAAAGTATTTGCTAGGACTACAGAGATCCAGATTTTAACCCCTCTGAACCATGAAACCCAAGAGGTGACCTTAACCACTCAGGCTCTCTTAGCCTGACATATCTTACAAGATGAGGATGAAACAGAGAGGGAAGAGAACCATGTACACCACTTTGCACTCATCTGAGAAAATGAATTCCAAGGGATGTCAGAATTGAAGATAAACAACTGGAAAAAAACTAACAAAATTCAGAGACCTGGCAACTGAAATATCTCACTCGTGGATGAAACATACTTCAGTGGTCCCCATCGTCACTGGGGCTTTGGAAACAATATCAAAAAATTTCACACAGCATTATAAGCAGTTGCAGATTCCAGAAATATCATCATCAGAACTACCAAAACAATGGCAGTATTAGGAACAGCATATATACTACCTCGATATTTTATATCAGGATTCGGGTTAACCCTTGTATCTGTTATGTAACACAAGCCAATGTTTTTATAATTTTGATTTGACTGTGCCTGGCATTTTTAAGCAGCAGCCACTGCCATCATGTAAATTCTGACTTATGGCAACACTTTTCAAGGTTTTCCAGGTGGAAAACACTCAGAAGTGGTTTACCATGTACTTCTTCTGTGGGAGCCCTGTGACTGTGCATCTTGCCCAAGGCCACATAGACTGGCTCTACTTCTCAGGAGGCACATTGTGGAATCCAACTCCTAATCTCTAGTTCTGTAGCCAAATAACTAAACCACTGAACTATGCAGCCAGCTGGCTATGGTAAACCATTCCTTAAATATCTCAGATAACTCAATATGTCTTCCAGATGTAGTAAGCTTTAATATTCATTATTCTGGTTGGGAAGGATGGGTGCTGGAAAGCTACTTTTACTTAAGAATTAGTGGACATAGTGGCTAAAAGACATAGTGCCATGAACCACAAAGCTCCTGCTTCAAATCTTAAATGTATGATGAATTCACCATATGGCAAGCCACTAACACACCCTGTTATAATAAAACGTTATCATAAAAGTAATATTACTGACTGTAAAACTGACTGACTATTCATACTACTGATAATAACACAAGACTATAAGGATTAGTGAAAAAGTAACACATTACACATTCTGAACATTTTAAAAGCATTATGTAATACTTAGCATACATTTGGATTTAAAATTTACCTTACTGAAGGTGAAACTTTGGAAGAACCAGGTATTTCTGGAACAGGACGATGCCTAAGCATGAACGACCGTGTAGGTCTTGGAACTAATTTTGTAGGATTATGATTTGAAGTGTTATACAGATCATTTTCTACCATTTCACCTTGAAATTCAAAAAATGGGCAGTCTGGTGGGCAAGTAACTGCCAAATTTTCCAGTACTGAAAGCATGGGAAATTCATCATCACTAGATTTCATTTGAGAAGAAGAGAAAGTGGAGAGAGGAGATACTGTTTCTTTGGGGCCAATGTTACTTGTCTCTAGCTGTCCCTTGTCAAGGAGATAATCCATAGGAGGCAACCCTTCAGACATCATATTACTGAGTGCATTTCCTAGAACATCGGAAGCATTTGCTGAGCAACACAAGTTTGGACAGGAGTTGGAGCAGTCCTGATCTGATTTCATGATGCTTTTTGCTCCCAATGACTCATGGTCAGCAAGCCCCTGATTTTCTTCATAGATGCTATGCTTGCCAGAAGCAGCATTTGTCAATTCATTGTATGTGCAACTAGGTGTGACACTTTCCTCCAAATTTAGAATATGTGCATTGGAACGGTGGGAAAATGGCTGAGAACAACCATTTTCTTGATCTTCCACGTGTTCTGTTTTCTGGCTTTCAACAAACGCAGATTCTGCTGGCATTTTTGCAAGCACAGCCCCCAATTGTTTGAGGATTCTTCTTCGGTGTCCAGTAGGAGATACTCCAATTTGTTGAAGTGAATGGTCATTTATCCCAGCACAATCTTGCAAAGTATTATAACCAAAGTCTTGGAAGTTTGGAAAGTATTGCTTCAAATTTATGCTGCCTAAGAATTCTTTTATATTTATGTCTCTGAATGACATACTGGCACCTTCATTCTTCACTTTTTCTTCCAGAGCTCCAAAGCAGCATAATGCTATATACTGCTATTCAATATCCAGAGAAGACTCTTTACACCCTGTGGGTAGAATGAAATGCCTTCCATAAGTGGTAGCAGTACATACAAATTCAATACATCTTCAAATCGTGTATTACAGAAGGGGGGAAACTGAATACATGATAGAAATACCCTGTTTCCCCGAAAATAAGACCTAACCTGAAAATAAGCCATAGTATGAGTTTTCAGGATGCTCATAATATAAGCCCTACATCAAATATAAGCCCCAGTTAAGTAAAACCCTGCCCCCCACCATTGTGCAGCAACCGGAAGATGACATGCCTGTATTTGAATAAATGTAGATTGCTGTACATGAAAAAAATAAAACATCCCCTGAAAATAATTCCTACAGTAATGCATTTTTGGAGCAAAAATTAATATAAGACCCTGTATTATTTTTGGGGAAACACGGTAGTACTGTATATTTCAAAACCAGCATCTTCACTGACACAAAGAGAGAATCTCTAGAAGCCCTTCTAGTGCTTCCATTACCAAGATAAGTATCATCTTAAAGCAACATAACTAACCTGAATTTTACCTGTGAAGATTTTCAAAGTGGATGTCTGATATGCATTATTTCTCCTCTACAACAGTTAATCTGCAAGGACCTTTATGGTTACTCAGGGCAATAAAAATAAAAGATGCTCATTTCCTGCTGTTTTTAAGTAAGAAAGGAACAAGGGCCACTTGAGCAACAGTGGAGATTTCTACTGTGTCTTAAATTCTCCCTAGCCCAGACAAGTGACAGAAGACCTTAACCACAGTTTCAAGCCAACTCATGGCAGAAGACATATAGCAAAGGACTAGTAGCAACTGTCTATAATAACTAGCAAGGTACTAGGTTCGGCTGGGCACCCTGTGGTTTTCCAGCTGTTGTTGGACAGTAACTCTCATCCTGTTGCCCTAGGTCTGGTTTTGGCAGAAGTTGCAGTCTGACAATATCTGAATGGTTACAAATTGGCCTCCTCTACTCTAAACAATTTCAGGCCAGTGTGTCTGTCTCATTCTGTAGAAGGCCACAGAATCTGCAATCTTCATCACATATGCAGTTGTCAGATACCCTGTTTCCCCCAAAATAAGACCTAACCTGAAAATAAGCCCTAGTATGATTTTTCAAGATGCTTGTAATATAAGCCCTACCCCCAAAATAAGCCCTAGTTAAGTGAAAGCCTGGCCTTCACCATTGTGCAGCATTGTGCAGCAACCAGAAGATGGCATGACTGTAAAATATACCATCCACTGAAAATAAGCCCTAATGTGATTTTTGGAGCAAAAATTAATATAAGAACCCAATCTTATTTTTGGGGAAACACGGTATCTATCAAGGAAATCCAGATACATAGGTGCATGAGACAGATCTTTCTCTATAGTAACACTCTGACTGAGGGTCTCTCCATCCAAGGTTCAAATGTGCAAGAAAAACTAAAGTATTTCACTGGGGGCTAGATAGATTTTCAAACTGTTCTGGCTTGTTTAAAAGCAGCCTTAAGGTAACTATCTTTTTGAGCTATAATTCCCATCATCCCCAGCTATTGATCCTTCAGGCTGATGTTGAAGGGAGTTGTTCAAAACATCTGATTAGCTGTTTTTAAAATACTTTCTTTGGACTTTTATTCTTTTTCCATTAGTTTATTGTACATGAGAGTGAATGTTGTAATAGAGAGAAAAGCAAGGGAATAATTGAGGCCCAGCACTGCAGACCTTGGGGACTGTAGATAAGGCAATTGTTCTTGTTGTGACTTAGATTAAGCAGAGCTCAGCTGGTATGATTTCAATGTTGGAAATAAATTTGAATCCTCACAAACTCTCTCCCCTGCAATACCGCTTCCCTATAATAAATGTGGCAACTAAAATATAAAGTGGACTGCCTTTGATCATATTGCAAAACAAAAGTATCATCATCATTTCCTTTCTCAAGTAGTTGCCTACATATCCTTTTTTATTTAAAAAAATCTAAAAATATATATTGTTTAACACTTATACAGAGTTGGTCCATAAACAAAATTTTAAAATCCAGGTAGATAACAATATCATTATAAGTGATTCATGCTATTCAGTGAAATTTAGCAAAGATAAACAAATGGTGGCCAGGACTGGTGCTTGACCATTTTCCCTACCAATTAGGAATCCCCTATAATGCCTCTGAGCATATACAGAGTGTCTTTCCCTTTCCACTGGACTTTGTTGACCGCTCTGACCCCAAAGAACCAAAGAACCAAGACAAAGATCTTAAAGAAGAGAGGGTATTATTTCTCCCTAAGACTCTTACCTACAAAACATAAAATGGTCCTGTCCCCTCCCCTATTCCTATTTCATAGTAATTATACAAAGGGCTTCACTTGTGTCAACCTCTAGGACTGCCTCTAACAGAGTTGGGATAAGGCTGCATGGGTATCATTGTAAGATAGCACCGAATGGGAGATCAGCAACTGAAGACCAGCGTGAGTTCTCACAGACTCTTGGCATCAAACAAGCAGTATTGCATGCTAAAGAGAGCATCCACCAGGTAAAACTATTTATTTGACTTTAATTAAGGTTAAATTGACTGTTCGTTGTGGTTTAACTGAATTCCTAACCCCAACTCTGTTAGACGCAGACAGGCCATGTTAACTGGGCAGCCTTCCTTCCCACCCCCACACCCACCCCCGCTAAAGATAGTCTTTAAGCTTCATAAAGGCAGAAAGGGAGAAGGAGGGGGGGCCCAGATTGCCTGTGACTACTGTCTGTTTTAAAAGATGGGTCATAAATTCCAAATTGCTAGCTGAAGAAGAGCTTGAAACCCATATGCATGCATGCTGCTGCTTCCATCTAAGAAGCTTAACTGGCCTCTCTACACCCTCAGCCATGTGAATTTGTGACATTAAAAACAGCACATAGACTTGGAACTGCCCACTAGAACTTGATGCTCAAACCTGAAGAAGATGATTTATCACTGAAAGCTTGCTATGTTCGTTCGTTCATTCGTTCGTTCTCTTTCTTTCTTTCTTTCTTTCTTTCTGTTCGTTCTTTCTCTCTTTCTTTCTCTCTTTCTTTCTCTCTTTCTTTCTTTCTTTCTTTCTTTCAAAATATTCTTAATGGTCGATTGAAGGCATCCCTGCTCCTGCATTTGTAAAGTTTAGGCTGTAATAAATGTGTTTGCCTTTAGCGTTCCACAAGACTGTTGCTTTTTTGTTTATTTTTTCCCCGCCTGCTATCTCCTCTTCTCTGAAAGCAATTGCCTTGATCAACAAAATAACTGCTCTTTTGTTCTCCAACCTTCAGAGGAAAAAGGGAGGGAGGAGTTGATGGAAAAGTTCTGGAAGGCTTTTTCTTTTCCCTTCCATCTAGGGAAAGGTAGTAGGAAGAAGGCTGAGAGGCAACTAAAAATGAGTCCATACTGTTGCAGAGAGCATTTATTAAAGATCTGTACAGTGCCGGTATGCATTGTACAAATGTAATGCTCAGAACACAACAAACCAATAAAGCCAGGTACAGTATTTCCCAGACTGGGGACCAGAGGTGGGGTGGAAGGTGACTGAGAATAAGTGGCTTGCCTCCACATACAGATAGCACTGGCAAGAAGGAACACACAGAAGCAGAAATCAGGAATCATAGTATAAAGCAGCTATCTAATGGGAGCAGTACTAGCCAAGGCAAACACTGCAGTCTTCAATATGCATAAGATGCAGCCTCAGGTTTGGTCATCAAAATTAAATGTATAGTTGTTATGTCCAATGCAACTATAGTTGTTATGTCCAATGCACCAACTTTTCCATCAATGTATAGTTTATTTATTTATTTATTTATTTATTTATTTATTTATTTATACCCCGCCTATCTAGTCATTTCGACCACTCTGTTATGTCCAATGCACCAACCACGCTTATAAACACTTGATAGCAGTTCCACATCCGATATCAGCTCACCTAGCACATCTTTCTACCTATCCTTTATAAAGACTGAATCTCACACATGGATTTGGCTTACATGTGATTAGGCTTATACAGAGAATTCTCATACTGGACTCTGGCTGAAATTTTCTGCCTTATCTACCCAAATAACTTAACTGGCTTTAAAACGAGCATTTTGATGGAAATATCCTTGAATGATATAAAGTGTTCAAAAAGAACAGAATGAATAGGAAGTGAGGTACAGAAGCAATCTACAATATGTCACAAACACATATTCCTGCATGGGAATACAGAAGAATGAGCTTCATTGTCCCACTGTGAGCATCTGGATTAATAATATAATTGCGGTAAAACAATCCAAAGAATGTGGTAGTGGAAGGTTACTAATGACCACCCATCCAGGAAAAGATGTTAACGAACTAAATGAAAGACCATCAAAGAATATCAGCAAAAAAAGGCAAGCCTATTGTCTACACCTTGGAAATACAGTAATTAAGATGCCCAATACAACATAATACATGGAGAACTAAAAATCTAACTCTATAAGTTACAATGGTTGGGGTGAATACTTAGTATATTTTTAACCTTCTTTTCCTTGCTGCTGTTGTTCTGTTTTGTTTTCGTTTTCCTTGTCCTTCTCTACTACTAGATAGAAATGAAGAGTCAAAGATTATATCAAATTCAGTTTAAATCCAAAATGTGTAATATTTTGTAAATTTTTGATTACACTTATGGATACTGACATAACAAAATAAGCATAGTAAGCATATTAGAAAAGCTGATACAGTATTATATTCTGTGCTTTTTAGTTGAGTAATCAGAATACTGATTAGTAAACTAACTACATAAGTTACAATGGTTGGGGTGAATATTTAGTATATTTTTAACCTTTTCCTTGCTGTTGCTGTTCTGTTTTGTTTTCGTTTTCCTTGTCCTTCTCTACTACTAGATAGAAATGAAGAGTCAAAGATTATATCAAATTCAGTTTAAATCCAAAATGTGTAATATTTTGTAAATTTTTGATTACACTTATGGATACTGACATAACAAAATAAGCATAGTAAGCATATTAGAAAAGCTGATACAGTATTATATTCTGTGCTTTTTAGTTGAGTAATCAGAATACTGATT